CCCCGCCCCCCGCCCCCCGGCGGAGACGCAGAGAGCCACTCGCAGCCGGAGAGACGCTCGGACACAAAGACCTCGTGCCGCCCGCAGACCCAAGTTTCTCCCCGAGACCAAGGGGCTCGGACCGCGGTCCCCGAGAGAACAGACAAACGGACGCGCAGACCGACAGACGGACCTTGGGACCTCGACACCCCCAAGAAACGAATTACTTCCTCCGCCGGGGTGTCCCTGGTCTCCTAGGTCGCTCCACAGACCCCTTCCCTGACAGATTGCCCGCAGGGTGAGCGGAGAGACGCTAGGGAAACTGAGGCCCCCGTGGGGCGCTGCACCCCGGGAGCGCGGCTTTGAACGAGATCCCCGAAGAGTCACACGGGAGGGGGCTCGGGGATTCTCTGCCTCCCAGGTTCCTTTCACGTCTCTCCGCTTGCCCTGCGGGCGATGGAACAGGGTACTGGCTGGGGCTGGTTCCGAACCCAGGATCCTGAGCTGGAGTTCTCTGTCTAGGTTCTGGGGCTCCCGGGGCCGGGGCTCTGGGAGGGAGGACGGCCAGGGCGAGAATCCAGGAAGAGAGGGGGCCTCGGATTTCCCGTTACCTGAGTCGGCCGCGCTCGGACTCCTCTCTGGGGGCTGTAGCTCGAAGCTCCGACAAGTCTCCACGTCCAACCCGAGAGGGGGCGGCCGGGCCCGGCACAGCGAGGCCAGGAGCGCGAGCGCCGCCTGGCACCGAGGCCCCCCGGTCCCCCACACCCCACTCATGCCCGGGACACCCCGGCGCTTCAAGCAGCCGCCCGAACCCGTACCGCCGCCGGACTGGGGCGGGGCGAGGCGGCCCCAAGAAGACCCTCCCCGCAGCGGCCCCCTGCGGCTCCGTTCAGCTTTTAATCGCTTCCCCGCAGGGTCTCCGCCCCTCACGTGGCATCCCGCGGCAGCTGGCAAGTCTGGCGCCTCACGGCCGCCCCCTCTACACCCAGGGACAGGCCTGAGTCCCGGCAGGTTCGAGGCAGGGGGAGCCCGGTTGTCCAGCACCCCGGAGGGTGCAAGGCCCAGGAAAGGGCCTGGGATCTGACTCCACATTCACTGCCTGGTGTGACCTTGGGCCTCTCTGAGCCTCAATTCCCCACTCTGTAAAAGGGGTGTAATGATTACGAGTGTTTCACAGGCTGCCTGGGAATATAAAGATAGTGTTCGTGAAAACACTGGGTAAATTGCCACATTCCACACAAGTGGCAACGAAATAGATGAACCCATTACAGAAAGAAAGATGACCCGGCTGGGTGTGGGAGAATCTTGGCCGAGGTTCCTCACGGGGGAAGTTAGTCAGACTAGCCCCAAGTCCCAGCTTCGGAGGCAGAAGACCCTAAGACTGCGGGGCTATTTGAACTGCAGGAAGACTTTCTGAGCCCCGCAGTCCTGCGGTCCACGGTACCCGCATGTTGCTATGGCAACGGGAGGCAGCGGCCGTCTCTCTCCATGGCAACGGGAGGGGAAAGTTTCTGGCAAATAGGAATGGGGGGCATTTCAAGAGGGCGCTCCGTTCCCGCCAGACCCATCTCCCCACAGCGGTGCAACGCCACCGGAGATAATGCCTCTTGCTATTAAGCATAGCCAGGGCCAGAAAGCCTGAAAACTAAACGAGAGGACTGAGGCTAGACTTAAGGCAGACTTCCCCTCCAGGAACTGTGGCGTGAGGTCCAGGAACAGGTTGGCTGAGGCGCTCCGAGGCACCTCACTCAGCCCTGGAGATCTACCGGCCGCCACCCGGCGCGGCCCTGCTGGGGGTCCTGTCACAGAAGTCGCGCGTCCTCGGCTTGTCGCCTGATGGGCCCCTTCCCGTGTGCGGCTCACCCGAAGCTCCAGGCTGAGGTCCCTTTGCCTCCCCCGAGCTGGGAAGGAAACTTTAGCTGGAGCCTCCGGAAGCCACGGGGCTGGTGTGTACCCTGGTGGCGGGTGGGGGAGGAGGGTCTTTCCTCCTAATTATCACGTTAATTGGAAGTGGCTCGGGCGGTGACTCACGTTCCAGAGGGAGGAGATTCGGAGCCCCAGCTCCTGGCGGTTTCCAAATGCGCCATCTGCGCCAGCCGCGCTTGCTGGCCCTTGGACTGGAGAGACCCCCGGCAGCTAGTGCCTCGAGTACAGAGGGCCGAGGCGAGGCCTCAGAGGACCCCGGCCTAACCAGAAGGTTTTTGCCCTTGGGAAGCGCTCCCTGGCTCTGTCCACGGTGCTGAAGGCCCATTGGCGCAATCGTAGCGTGGGCACGGGGTTAGGGAAGGTGGGACGATGGGCAGTTGTGGCGGGTTCACAGCTTCCACCCTGACCTCCGGAGCCTGCGATGGGAGAAGGCTAGGAACTCAGGCTAGAGGGACTGAGCAAGCGTAATCCCGGCGGCACTATGCAATCCAGGCCGCCTTCCTGAGGGAGGTGCTCAAATGCTGTTCCAAGAACAGGTGAGGCTGTGGAGTCCCCATTCGCCTCCCAGTGCTTCTGGAACCCACCTGAGGAGCCCAGAAGCCCTGTCACCTCCTGCTCCCCCACCCAATGCAGAGCTCAGCACTGGGGAGGCCCCTTGTTACATGCTCATTAGCAGTTTCCGAGGCAGCAGGTTTGTGTTTATGTAAAATACAAATGGAGAAGAACTGCTCTCTGCCCATGTTTATGGCAACTCTTGCTCCGCTCCGCGGCAATTTCTCCCTCCCCCTCCCGAGTTCCTGGGGAAATTCGCAGAACAAAGCGCCTTGTTTTGCCTTTGCAGAGAATGAAAAAGCACAGGACCTTCCAAGGGCCCAGACCTGTGATGCAGGGAAATCAATATTTTGCTTTACAATGAGTGGGGGAATTTGCATCTAAACTGAAGGCAAAGGAGCCTGTTTGGAGCAGAGCAGGTGGCAGGAGCCGAGAATTAACAGATAATTTCTCATTGTTCCCGGATTCAGCCTCCACACTAGGCAAACGGTTCTGCAGTGTCTCTGGCGCCCCGGCAGCAGCTCTGGACCTGGCATGTCTCAACAGAACAGGGAGGAGTTTCTGCTCTGACAGGGCTGCGGCGGGAAGGGGCCAGGGCTCCCGGGTCAGTCAATAACTATTGAATTTCGAGTGTGTGAATGAGTGTGTATGAAAGAGACAGAGAGAAACAGAGACACAGATAGAGACAAGAGAAAGAGAGGCAGAGGATGAGACATATGGAGACAAATATAGGAGATACAGAAGAGATATAGAGAACAGGGAAAGAGGGGCAGAGGGACCCATACACATATAAAGGGACACTCATTCAGAGAGATAAAAGAGAAACATTTTTTTTCTTATATTGAGAAAAAGCCCCACCTTAGTTGTCTTCTTTGCCCTCTCTCCCTGCCCTCAGGTTAATGGTGATACCTGCAGATACTTGTGGTCACATAACCAGCCACAAACCAACCAACCAAACAAACAAAAAACATGTAAAGTTGGGAACTCTTCCTCTCTAAAACCCCTTTCCCTGACAAGTTCACTCCCATATGAAAAGACTAAATTCAGACTCCCAGGGTCCCACCCAGACCTGAAGAGGGAAGGAGGTAGAAAGAAGTAGAATTGTTGCCCCTCAATGCTATCTTCCACAGAAAGACCATCTGAGATTCAATTTAGAGGTGGAGTGGAGAGAAGGAGGAGCAGAGACAGCATTGCATAGTGGCAAACAAGGGCACTAGGCTGAGCCCCAGGAGGCGGGGTTCCAGGACTGGTGCATCAAACCAGCCATGGGGCAATCATGTCCCTTATCAGGGTGTCAGTGTCCTTATTTGTAAGATGATGAAGCCAGATGAGGAGCTCTTCAAGGCTCCTTCCAGCGACAACATTCTAGGATTTTACATGAAGGGAAAGGAGGGGGCTGAGTGGGGAAAGGAAAGAGGAGCAGAAGAGCAGTTTTTCTGGCTCTAGAGAAGAGGGTGTCCAGACTCACTTTGGGCTTCCCCTCCTCCAATGTTCTCATTTCATCTACAATTGTGGCTGGAGCCTCCTGAATCTGGGCCCCTAGTCCCCAGGTTAGACTGCTCAGAAGCAGGGAGGGGAACTGGAGGTGGGGTGGGAAGCAGAATGAGAGGAGATTTGGAGCAGAAACCGGAGCATCCCACTCCTATGCCCTCCTTTCCTCCGAAATAGCCAAAGTGCACATCCCCTGCCCCCACCCCAAATCTCTTAGGCAGTGGCCCGACTGCCCTTGGACAGGTCCCCCACTCTGCTCTGAGCAGCAACGGCCTGTTGAGTTATGCTACAAATAAAATAAATTAAAACAAAACAATAATTTCTAAAAAAAAAAAAAAAAGACTAAACCTTGGTAAGAAATTGCTAATGCTGTAGGCGAGAAGAATGAGCTCCTTTGACATGAGTCGATGTGTCATATTGTCTTTCCATCTCAATGCAATTTCTAAATAGGGAGCCCTTTCCCCATTCCCTCCTCCCCTCCAAGCCCCCAGCAGAGATGTAAAGGGAGCAGTCTGATGTACATAGCCGGGTTATTTGACATACAGGGAGAGACAGAGAGAAAAAGATACAAGCGTACTCATGGCTTTGTCAAGTATGGATTGGAGCCAAGAGGGCTCTGACCCAACTTTGAGGGCCCCCGATCTCCTCTCCCCACCTCCCCCATCTCCTGCTTAGTGAGGCATGTGGACACTTTGTTCAAGGGTTTTAAATTTACTCTAGGAAAACAGGTATCAGTTGAACCTGTTCCACTGCTGGTGGAGAATTAAGTGGATGTCTTATATTAGGGAGGGGGAATGCTTTACACCATCATTTAAAACAAACACTGCTGTGGAATCCCTATGGGGTTTCTGCCAGAAGAGCTTTATCAGTATTTCCAGCAGATGTCACTCCCTGTCCCCCAACCCCCACACCAACATAGCAACTTTAGCCAAAGCTGGGTGACTTCTGCAAACCATGCCATTCCAAGCCATCATAAGAGTTTTCAGGAATTTTTCCTTGCTTGAAAAGATGCAGAAGACATTGCAAAGCCCTGCATCAATGCCCAGGTATTTTTGAGAGTCCAGTCTTGCTTTTATTCTAAGAAAGGTCTTTAACAATTCAAACCTCCTGAGCCAGGGGGTACATTTGCCTCTGTCTTATTCCTTCCTCATTTCAGAGGTCTCATCTCTGTTCTGTGCTCTCTGCTCAGGCATAGAGTTCCAGATCAGACTTGGGAAGACTGGACCGGGTTTGTTGCATCCAGCAGGCTGGGGACTGGGGAAACAGAGACAAGTTCAAGGTCAGAAGGCAACATCATCCCTGGAAGTTTTAGAGCTGTACCTAAGTACCTGTGGTGTGTGAGGGCTCTCTCCGTACTACTTGAGAAATGAGAATGATTGGAGGAGAAGAGCTAGGAAGGAAACCAAGGTTGCTCCTCTTCACACTGACCTCATACAGAGGAAAGAGCACAAGTTTTGGAGTCAGACAGACCAGTGTTCAAGTCCTGGCTCTATCACTTACCAGATATATCACTTTAGGTGTTATACTTCAGCAATCTGAACCTCAACTTCCTCATCTGTAGAATAGGACATATAAGGCCTGCTTTATAGTTACAAGGGCTTTATGCATAAGGTTAAGTATCTAATATACTGTGACTGATTCATTACAGGTGTTAAAACAAATGACAGTTCTTGTCCTCTCTCTCTGTCTCTCAGATCCTAGAGGGACATCCATGAGGCACACTGTCCAGAGCTTAACCCATATTCTTCCATTAGGCAAGTCCCTGAACATTGCCAAGAAGGATTTCTCTCTCTCTTTCTCTCTCTTTTTTTAGGGTGGTGGGAGGGGGAGAGGGAGAGAGAT